TGCAGGAATGAATGCATCCATCCATTTTGAGTTGTGTTCTCTGGAACCCAGTGACATGTCAGAGGTCCGAGTGGGTGCGTACACTTTGGGCTTAGTGTGGATCATGTGCTGTGAAGAAAGTTGTAAAGATTCAGTGATATCCTGTCATCTCTCCTCCTAAAGTCTCCCAGGGCAGCCTACAATACACGGTCCACCCTCTGTTCTCCTGTCTATTACAACAGTATCGGTCTCCTTCTGGGGGCTTGTCGGCACTTCACAGCTCAGCACTTGGCATTTGATGTGTCTGTAGTACAGAACTGATCTTTCTCTCTGCCCAGCGTGTCTTCTTGTTCCACCCCCGCCCCCAGTGCTTTGTGGACCTGCTTTGTTTCTTGTCCACTGCTCCTCCCACTTTAGAACCCCATACTTTAGGATTTGTGTGCTCTGCTGTCCTTACTTTGTATATTCTTCCCCATGCAAGTTCACAGTCTCAGTGGGATCAGTTAATAACAGATACTCCTGTCCTACCTGGGTCTCTGCCCTGCCCCTGCAGCCACAGAACACTGCAATGTGGCTTTGCAGAACTTCACTGAAGTGACACACAGGTCCCCAGCTTACAGCAGAGTGACACATATTCCTTTTCCAAGGGTCTCATTACAGGGCTTGCACCTGACATCATTGGTGTCACCTTTAATTCCTCCCTCTTCCCCAGCTGGTCATTCCTGTCTGGCAGCTCTTTGTCCCGAAACCTCTTTCCATTGCAGCAATGGAATTGTCCTTTTTCCTCCAGTTTTGTACTTGCTCATTCCAGACCTTTTAAAATGTGTTGCCTGATAGAAATGTACGTAATTTTTAGTTTTCTAATAGTCTTACTAAAAATATAAAAAGAAAAACATGAAAATTTAGTTATATTTTTCATTTAAACCAGTGTTCTTCAAGTATCTTCATGCAATATATAATCCAAAATGTTACTGATGAATGCTTTAAATATGAATTTTTCTGAACTCCAGTGTGAATCTTATACTTACAGTATATCTCAATTTGAATTGTGTACATTCTTCCATAAATAAGCACTAATGGCTAAGTACTAAGTACATTTGACTTGCAGCTTCAGAGAGTAGAGCCCAAGCAGGATGGAGTGTGGGTAGTTTCTTTGATGGGTTCCAGCAGAGGGTAAAGTAAATGTGGCAGTATCTCCTGACTGGGGACCTCCTTACAACCTTTGAGAGCAGCGTCTCTTTCTTGATGACCTCTGCAGCTGTATGGTGGCTGTTCAGTTCTATGACATTTGGTCAAGGCCATGAGTGGAAGAAAGGGCTAGAGAGTATGGGCTGTAGAGGGCAGGGAGGGAGTTCTGGAGACACTTAGGCTTGCACCCAGTAAACCAGTTGCAAGATGGTCTGACTCAGGTCTTACCTGCCCACTCTCCATTCTGTAGCCAGAAGTTTTTGTTAATTTATACCCAACTTTCATTTAATTTCCTGTTTCAAAACATCTAAAGTTGCTTTTTATTTTCCAGATAGACTCCAACACCCCTTCATTGGGTGCTCTTTACTGTTGTTGTTCTCACCTAGCTTACCTTTCTAGATTTTTTCAAATACCTCCTTCTAGTTCTGTTTTATTAGTTATCTGTGTGGTTTGAATGAAAATGGCCCTATAGGCTCATAGGGACTGGCACTATTGGGAGTTGTGACCTTGTTGGAGGATCAGGATGAGCTTGGAGGTTTCAGAAGCTCAAACAAGGCTTGGGTGGCTCAGTTTATCTTCCTGCTGCCCGAAAATCCAGATGTAGAACTCTCAGCTCCTTCTCCAGTGTCATGTCTGCCTGCGTGCCTCCATGTCCCACCATGAAGATAATGGACTAAACCTCTGTACTGTAAGCCAGGCCCAATTAAATGTTTTCCTTTATAAGAGTTGCTTTGGTCACGGTGCCTCTTTACAATATTAGAAACCCTCAGATAACTATGACATCTATTGCTGTGTGGTAGAATTTTTAATTCGTAGTGGTCTGTTAGAGAATTACAGTCAAGATACCAGCTAGGGTTGTAGTCACATGGTTGGCATACAGGCACTGGCTATTGTCAGAGGATGTAATGCCTTGCTGTGTTCTTTTAGGTTTTTGTTGTTGTTTTCTGAGATAGGGTCTTTCTGGGTATATCAGGTTGGCTTTGAACTCAATACCTTCCTGCCTTAGAGGTCTATGCTTACAGGTTTGTAAGGGCTCTATAGTCAGACAAAACCTGTGTGGGTTTGTGGTGTGTGTGTGTGTGTGTGTGTGTGTGTGTGTGTGTGTGTGTAAGGGGTTTGCTAGAATTACTTAAAACCAATAGGGGGTTGATTAGTCTAGTAGGGGTGACTTGCATGGTAGAGAGGCTAAGGACTTAATTGTTCAATCTATGAAGCTGATCTTTTAGCGGTTCTGTTCTGGAAATAAGGTCTGGAAGATTTTTGGAGTGTTACTGGTCTTCAGTCACGCTAGAAGGCCAAGACACTGTATTTTCTGGTGCCAGTAAAAGATGGCAGAAATGGCAGCAGCATGAGGATAAACAGGCTCACAGGCAGGTGCCAATTTCCTTCCGATCTCTCAATGGCTGGAAGGTACCGCTTACTCTAGGTGATGGGAAGGTTATATCTCCCCTCAGTTAACCCTTCCTGGGAATGCCCCCCACCTCCTATGTCTCTTTGTGGATTTGCTCTAATCAAGATTAACCTCCACTGTGCCCAGTTCCATGGTGTCTCTAAAATGCTGATAGTGTGTCCATGCAGTGTCGTGACCTTCCCCCAAGAAAGCATGATCCAGTAGAACAGAACAGGACCCACATGCTTGCTAGTCTCTTGTTACCAAACCTCAGAGCGACACACTGTCAACCATAGGCTCAAACTGATTAGAGGTAATCCACACAAAGCCATAAGCAGCAGAAGACAAGCACTGGGGTCGCCTTGGAGGCTGTCAACCAGTATAAGACGCATTGTGGAATTTCTGTAAGCTCTGACAGTCTTCACCTGTCTTTTCATATCCTTGTGTATAAGATTTTGTTGTGTTTCTCCTCTTGTTTTTCGTTCTGTTTACCATTGAGATTTAATGCAGTCATCTCCTGACATATGAAGCCTTCTTACCAGCATGATCTCTTCCCATCACCATCATCTTTTAGAGCACTTACTACGTTTTATGAAAGTTGCCTGTTTCTTTTCTATCACACTCCAAGTTCATGAGGGCAGTGATCACCTTCCTGGTTCATTGCCCAGCGTAACCCTTGGGAATGCATCACAGAGTCTCAGTAAATAGTTGTGGGAAAGATGAAGGAAGGGATTGATGAACATGTGGATCATGGGTGAGCAATTGGCCAGCTGCCTTGTCTTTTCTACTAATGAACAATGCCCTGTTCTTTTCATTTCTGTTTCCCCGAGTATTACCTAGTGCCCTGCATGTAATAGACTTCTGAAAATGACCCCTTTTCTTTCCTGCACATTTTAATGCCATAAAGAGTTTGAGAAATCCAACATTATGGATTTAGTGATATATTTAATGGTAAAAATTCATGTCAACAATTTGTTTTTAAATGTTGAAATTTTCTCTAAGTCAACATTGTGGTAAGATTTTAGATAATTTAATTTTGTGGTATTTATTATTTTTAGTGTTCATTTAGGCTTCAGCAAGCACCTTAAGCATTAAATGTATCTCATGAATGATTGATGAATAAATTAGCATATTGTTAAGTGCTTTTTATTGAGTGTGGCCAGTTTCAGGATACATAAGAATAAATTTAAAATTTTTTTGCTTTTATGAAAACATGGAATTATTGATATTGAGTAATTTGTTCATTTCTGGACTTGAAATTTAGGCCAAAATTGACTTACTGTTGTGGCATGAATAATTGATGGCCAGTTTGCTTTAGAGGCAAGTGAAGGTACAAATGAGAAGGAGCTCTCACAACAGTGTTAGTCTAGCCTCTTCACCCCAGTTGTAAAGGAGTTCTAACAACAGTGGTGGTCTAGCCTCTTCACCTCAGTTGTAAAGGAGTTCTAACAACAGTGGTGGTCTAGCCTCTTCACCCCAGTTGTGCAGAATTTCCAGGCACTTGATAAGAAACCTCTGGCATGAAAAAGTGGCACTTGATTATGGTTACATATTCCTCCCAACATATCCTTTAGAAGTTATTACTTTAAATTTTTATTTTTATTCTGAGGAAGTAGATTCACTATGTGTCTCTATTTTCAGATTCCCTTCTAGGGTTTCATTAAAAGGGCACACGGGCTTGGGATGGACCAGAACTGCCTTCAGGAGGGGATAGGTTGGGTATTTGGATGAGTGGCTGACCAGATATTCAGTGTGATGTGTTGGACACATTACTCTCTATCTATGAACTTTAATTCTTAGTATGTAGAATGAGGATGAGATTGCTTAAGGCAGTATCAGTAAGCTGTTGTTTTGGAATATTAAGTTGTGTTACATTTGTTTATGCTCTGGAACATTTGTTTAACAATGTTCAGACTTGTTGCTTTTGTTTATGCTGCATCTGCTTAACTCTGTGAAGCTGTGATTCTTTGCCTGTCTGAAACACCTGATGGTCTGATAAAGAGCTGAATGGCCAATAGCGAGGCAGGAGGAAGGATACGCATGGCTGTCAGGCAGAGAGTATAAATAGGAGAAATCTGGAAAAAAAGAAAGATAGGTGAAGGAAGGAGCAAGAGAGAACAAGGAGAGGAGGGTGCTAGGGTCCAGCCACACAGCACCCACAGAATCAGAGTAAAAGTAAGATATGCAGAAGTAAGAGAAAAAAAAAAGCCCAGTGGCAAAAGATAGACTGGTTAATTTAAGAAAAGCAGGCAAGAAACAAGCCAAGCTAAGGCCAAGTGTTTGTAAGTAATAATAAGCCTCTCTGTGTATGATTTATTTGGGAGCTGGATGGCGGGGCCCCTAAAGGAACAAAAGGGGCCCCAAAAGAGTAATGAGTATAAACAACCAACCACTAGCTGTGCTGGATAAGTGCCTGATGTGATGTTGTCTGTGGTGTTTACAGATGCTCAGTCAGGACTGACTACGACCATCTTCCCCAGCTCTCCAGCCTGACTCAAACAGGAATTTGATGTGCCTGTGGTGGTGTCACCTCATGCAGAAATGTGTGGCCTGTGTGCCCAGCTGTACCTTGGAAGAAACTCCGTAGCTGTGCTGCTGGTGCTTTGCTCTCCAGTCAGCCAAAGCACCAGGGTCTGCACTGTGTATGGTTTTTCTAGTCCTTATGTATTAATCTGCCCTAACTCCCTCTCCTTTTCTTCCATGCTGGGATATTTTTTTTAGTTTTTTTATTGAAAAAAAAAAGGTTATACAATATATTTTGATCTTGTTTCCCCTCCCTCAGATTCTGCCTACCTCCCTACCCAACCAACTTTGTGTCTCTCCACCTCGCCTCCTCCCTCTCTCTCTCTCTCTCTCTCCCCCTCTCTCTCTCTCTCTCTCTCTCTCTCTCTCTCCCTCTCTCTCCCTCTCCCTCACCCTCTCCCTCTCCCTCACTCCCCCCCTCCTCCCTATCTGAAATAAAGCAATAGGAGCCAAAAAGCCCACAAAAATACCATTAAGATTGTTTAATGTTAGACAGCTACTCCTCGGCATGAGGCCTGCCCAGTGAGACACCATTGGAGAAAATTAATTTCCCTTTGCCAGCAGTTATCAGTTGTAGATAGCTTCTTTGTTGGGAGTGGAATCCCATGTCCACTTCCTCTTCTCATTGCTGCCTTGATCCTGTGCAGGCCCTGGGCCTGCTGCCACAGTCTCTGGAGTTCAAATGTACACCAGTCCTGTTATATCTAGAAGACAGTTTGCTTGAAGTCATCCATCATGTTTGGCTCCTATTCTGTCCAGGTCCTAAGCCTTGAGGGGGAAGGATTTGATGAAGACATCCATTCAGGACTGAGTGCCATGCAGACTCTAACTCCCTGCACACTGTCCGTTTGTCCAGGTCTCTGTGTTAATTGTCATCTGCTGCAGGAAGAAGCTATTCTGATGATGGCCGAGTGAGGCACTGATCTTCTAGATCGCAACTTACTTCCTCAGGCTTGCATCACCAAGGCTAGCTCCTCATCCTAACCATGCTTTTGCCTTGCCAGGGTCTAGATGCGGGGGCAAATAGCCTGCTTCTAAGAAGTTTTGCTCTAAGAGCTACTTTTAGAATTTGTCTGTTGGGTTTTACTTGAAACCCTGCCAGGAAGTGTTGGTGTAGATGACTTGCCCTCATTTCTTTCCATATGATTTTCAGAGTGGTCTGTCTGGGAAGAATGTGATGCACCCCACAAATAGACTGTCTGGGGTATCCAAATCTTGAGTTGAGTGGCCTGTTAAACAGGCTTGTGTCAAAAGTGATGAATAGTTTTTGTGGATTTTGAGTGAGTTGCCAATCGATCGACTCCTGTTTAATGAGAGAGGCCCTGTAAGAGGAGTAGAAGCCCAGCTGCCTGTGTGGGAGCCACCTGCCTTTTCTCTTTACTTCATTTTCTTGCTAATGAAGGAACCAATTGGTTTAGAGCGATCAATGCTGACCTATTAAGATCAGACATTGTTTTGGTGTTGCCAAGGCAATTAAATTCAGCAGGGTAAGGATTAGTGAGAGAAAGACTGTGGGGGGGGTGGGGGGGCTTTTTTTTTTTTATTCAGAAACAACCTTTCTTGGTGTTAGAGGTATAAAAAGGATTAGTTAAAAAAGAACTAATCATTACAACATTTTCCTTCTTGGTAAAATAATCAGAAGATTTGTTCTTAGACTTGGGGAGATAGGAAGCTCTGCCCTATGAACTGATTCAAGGGACATACTGTTATTATTGCCCTCTCCCCTGTTTAAGGCTGGGACTTATCTCCTCCCCCCCCCCAGCCTGTTCTCAGGTTCTGTGTATCTAGTGACAGGTAGTGAGACCCAGATGTGAAAGATTGTCCGAAGCCTCTCTGATTTAGTATAGCATGGTCCCAGGCCAGCCCATCAGCAGATGCTGGGGTCTAGAAGCTGTTAACTATTCTTTACTGAAGACTTGATGAGAGCAAAATCCATGAGCTAATCGCCTGGCACACATTCTTCCCCCTAATCTCAGTCCCCTCACCCCCATCCCATCCCCCCACTGAGGTATGCATTGATATTTGAGTAAGTAAACAGGTCAGTCACTGGACATATCAGTGACTTAGAGGTTGGTATTCTAGGGTTAGAGAAGGAATAGGAGCAAACATATAAAGCAGAGACAACAGAGTACACTCGAGAGCCCTTTCTCCAGTAGAAGACATAAAGCAAAAAATAAATAAATAAATAAAAAAGATTCTTTTTTTGTTTTATGTTTTTCAAGACAGAGTTTCTCTGTGTAGCCCTAGCTGTTCTGGAACTAGTTCTATAGACCAGGGTGGCTTTGAACTCACAGAGACCTTCCTGCCTCTGCCTCCCAAGTGCTGGGATTAAAGGAGTGCACTACAAAACAAAAAAACAAACAAAAACAGATTCTTGGATTTCGTCGATCTTGTCATTTTGTTATGTAAAGATACTGATATCGCTTCCATAACCAAAATATGGAATAGATAACAGTCTTGCCAAAGTGGTGAATCTGAGACCTTGAGGGAGGGGAAACATGATAAAAATATATTGTATAACCTTTATTTTTGCAGTATCTAAAGTCTGTACAGTTCTTTATGCTTTGTTTATAGGGACACTGGTATTGGCCCCAATGCCCAATGGCTTGTTTCATGTAGGATGCCTCCCACAGACTTTGTCTATAAAGTTATCTTTCATGGACTGCTGATGGCTTGCCATGGAAGTGACATAGGAATTACTGCTGCTCTCTTCATAATGAGAGTGTTGTGCCCAAATTCTGAACCCCCAAATCACCAAGAGACCCATTCCAATGCAAAAGCAAAGAGTCTTTTATTATTTAACAAGTTAACTCGGGTCTTGGGTCCCTCCACCAGGGCGGGCAGGAGTGAGAAGGACTCCAGGGAACTGTGTGTGGGGGGGGATTTATTGGGTAAAGGAAGGGGAGTGTCAAGGGGTAAGCAACAGTCTTAGGACTGGTGCGCTTCTGGGCTTGGGTGACCTGTCCTGTGTTGATTGGCCAACTGGGTGTAATGGCCTACAGGCCCTCCCAGGGCAGTTGCTATGCTCTGCATGCCACTGTTCTGCCACTTTTACCTTAAAGTACTTCCAGAGCCTTCCAGCTAGCTTCTGATTGGTTCCTTGCCACATGGAGTGTATCTGACTTCTAGTGACTGGGAGGTCTGGCAAGATCAGGCAAGCACATGTGGCTGAGTCACAGGGGCCTTTTGTCTTGTCGGGTCTTTTCTGCAGCCTGTCATGGCTGCTAAAGCAGGGGGCTGGGAGAAGGTCTGGTCCCTTCAGAGAGAAGCAGTGACAGCAGTTGAGATGATCCTGTGTGTGTGGCTCAGAACTGATGTCTGGCCATCTTTGATTTGGAAGATCATGCCTAGACATCTGTGTCTGCTTGAGTTGACATCAGTTTCCTGCTCTTCATTTCTTGATTTTTATGCCACTCAAGGCTGTTGCTTTTTTCTTCTTCATGAAGATTTAGGTATCTTTAACAGAGGCTGTGGTAGGTTCCTCAAAATATTCCCTGGGGCTTTCTTCATAGGTAGTTTACACTAGTGGTCTTAACAGCTTTGTACATGAAATGATAATCAACCTCATCAGAGAAGGGCAAATAAAAATTACAACAACTACTTCATGCAGACTAGAATGGGTATAATCAAAAATTCTGACCAAAGGTGTTCAAGAGTCCCACAAAACAGCACAGGCTGTTGACATTGCTCTTTATTTCCTGCCAGAACTTGGGGGGTAAGACACTGTTGTTGAAGACACCATGTACTGAGAAATCAAGCTGGAAACCTCCTCCATGACGGATAGCTTTCCTAGCGTTAGAAGATGTTGCTCAGGTTTCCGAGAGTGCAAAGTTATTGGCAGTCCTACCTAGCTGTAGATCCTATGAACTGTGATAGCTTCCAGACTAGCAAGATATGCATGCTCAGTAGTGGTACTGAAGCCAACTTCTGTCTGACTGGCTTTAAGACCCATTCAGCAGGAGGAAGCTCAATATTGGTACTGTCATCTTGCCTAAGAACTTACAGTTGGAGAGGACTCCAAGGGACCACCTACTACCATCATTTTAAATTGATACTGATTTCAACTATATTCTATGTACCTATTCTTATACCCATGGATGAGTGCAGCTACCACCCCTCCTCAGAGAAACTTTTTCTTTTTTTTGTATTGTACATAGGTGGTTACAGAAACCACAATGCAGGGAATAAGTGGCTATGGAATGTCCTTCCCTAAATGGGACATCAACAACACACCCCTTTCTCCCAGGGCCCAGGGAGTATTGAAGAAAGGTCAGAAATATTTTAAGAGCCTGAGGATTGGGAGAACTGTTCCGAAACAGTATCTTCTGGACATGATAGGGATGTTGCACCCGTGTACTCACTCTCTCAACAGATGGGGTTCGCCTATACAGGATCAAACCGGTGAAGCTTCAGCTTGGATCGGGGAAGGGCTCACTCACAAGACCTGCTCCTGCCTTAGGAGCTACAGGCAGTCCGCAGCTACTCAGGGAGGGAGGATCAGTTTTCTTCAGGGTGTGGTGACTTGCATTTTACTATTCTGCAGTAGGCAGCCCTGTACCTATGTACCTATATGGGCAACACTGGCTGGACTCAGAAGAAAAGGACATTAATTTGAGAATTGAGGGTTACCCACTCAGCAAGAGTTGAAAAGAGGTGTAGGGGGTGGATAAGACCCAAGTGCATTGTTCTCTTGGTTTAAATTCTCAAAGGATAATTTAGAAGTCTGTCAACTTGGCCTTTCATTTTTCCTTATTTTGAATAATGTGTAGAGTTACATTCCATACCACAGTTTCCCTTTCTATCAGAAAGCTGACTACAAGTCATGTGTAATTCAAGAGTTCTTAGTGGCCATATTTAAAAAAGCAAGAGGCAAATTTAATTTTATAAGTTTATATGTGTATCTGTTTGTGCATGCATAAGCCTGTGCACACACATGCGTGAAGCTTCCTGCAGAGGTCAGAAGAGTGTGTTAGATCCCTGGAGCTGGAATTAGAGATGATTG